CCATGTTCGCCCTCCGGCTCTTACTACTCATTGTGGAAATACCTTCTTTGACAGAATGCTTTCCCTTAAGATCAAAGTCCTAGTTGAAGGTCCCTCCTCTGTACTCCCCTAACACTTCGTAATATTACCCCTATCATAGCACCTGTCAAAAATAAATTGTTACTTTGCCTATCTAGTTCACACTGTAACGCCACCATGTTGTATAATGTATGGCTCTTAGGAAGCATTCAGTGAGTGCTGAAGGAATGAATGAGGAAAGGGCCTTCAGTTCCCTGTTCACCTCTAAAAATGAGGGAGCTGATGTACAAAGTCTCTTCCAGCTTCCTATTCTATTAGTGTGAAGGATTGATAAAACCAAATGACGATTATGTATAATAAAGACTTAGATCCACATTTGGAGTCAAGTAACTTCTAAATTGTAACATCACAAGTTGCTCACCTATACAAGATTTTCTTTACACATCGTTTTAATATTTAAGCTGCAAGACAATAAATTGCTGTTATACTGCTTGTTATGGTTGGAGAAATTTATCTTCAAAAATCATTCAGTGCTCAACAGCAATCCTAACTTGAATATAAGGTAATGCATGATTTTACATAGTGAACTATAGGAATTTCATAACTATGGATAGGTGGATATTAAAGAAATTTTTGCATTTTGAGGCCTAAATGGTAGTAAGTGGTTTACGCCTAGTTTATAGTCATTATGTAAGAAAATACTCTGCCCAGAACAGAATGCATATTAAAGGACATACGAGTAAGGTCTATCCTCAGCTTCTGGTCCAATCCCACTTTCAACTTCAAATAGAGCTTTTCTTGAAAATAGTAATTGCTTCAACGAAGAAATACAAAAACGGGGATTTAGTTTGGAATGTGATTTTTATTAGTCTTTTAAGGCAATGATATCCAACATACTGGCAAATTATTTCAAGTAAAATAATAAAAGTATTTTTTTGTGAGGACTTAGCTTAGAATCAACTGGGAAGCTACCATTTCTCTAACCTCAGCTATTCCGTGTACTAACAGATGCCTACACTACCAAATAAACTAAACTTTCGATATTTATTTGGAAAGTTTTATTTGATTACAACAAAGTTAAAATCATTTAGATATGTTAATTGTATACATTAATGATTAAATTGCTTGATAATTAGACAAACAACTGTATATCATAATTATCCCACCTTCATTTTCTAGACGAAAGCAAAATGTAATAAAATAATGCAATCCCCACTGTTTTTAAAAAAGCCAAAGTAATTCTCATGTTTTTTCTTCTAACTTTGATAGCTTTCTCTGTTTGTAACTTGCGTCAACGCTGTAGTTTTCCTAGGTGCCACACACCTAATTTACATCATCTGCATTCAACCGTGTATCATATTAAGAGAAAACAGTTCTGCATCTTTTTCTATAATAACGTACAAGTCCCTTGGTCTTGAGTCCTTTGAGTAATGCCAAAGGATAAACACAAAATATTAAAAACCCTTTCAATAAACCTGAAGCAAGATTTGCCCAAAGATCTGATCACCCTGCAGGAGTAACACAGGTTTGGCTACTCTGTAAAAAGCCTTATTTGAGACTCACAGATGTATAAGACGTTAACAAAAATCGAACAGGAAACGTAAAAGGATTTTAATAAAAGTATTTTGTCTTTCATGCCTTAAAAAAAATACCACTGCATTACAACGGATAACATAACAGGTATAACAAGCACACGTGGATGCAAGGACCCCAGGTTACAAGTACGCTAAAGTGCAGTAAGGTCAGAGAAGTGCCTTCTGCCCTTAAAGTTCCTGAAAATACGAGGTTGCTTTGGCATAGAACAAGTTATCACTTCAAAACGAGACAAACTTACAGAAAGGAAACACAACCAAAACTCAGTGGTTGGAAAAGAGATGGATGTGAACGCCCACTTGTTTCTTACGTATAAAGTTACCCCTCGCAGTGTTTTGGAGGAGAAAACGCTGGCTCTTCCCAACGCTGGTTACATACACAAAGATTCCAAAGACAAAACAAGTGCTTTGCAAACAAAGTAACTAGAACCAGCTCAGGCTTCCCCGCGCTGCGTCCTGCGTTCCACGGTCAGAACCACCAACTGTATCCCCCCGGGTAACAAGGTGATTCAGAAAAGCTGGCGTCTTCAGAGAAGGGAGAAAACTTAGCCGGGAAGAGAGCCAAGAGAAAACTTGTTCAGCTTCTTGCTGGGGTCTGAAACGATCCCAACAAAGTCCTTAAACCCCTCAGGCTTCCCCAAGCAAGCACCCTCGCCTCCAACCTGAGCCACCCCAGATCTGACTATCAGACGACAAAAGTCTGCGGACGCACGCAGAGCTGACCACCCCACTAGAGGGACCTACGCGCAGCCGCGCTCACTCACCCGCCGCTCCCCGGGAGACGGGAGACCAGCCCGGGGTCCAAGTCCTGAGCGTGGCAGGCTCGCCCCTCTCCGGGCCCGGCTCCAGCTCACCTCGGCGCGGCCCGCCTGGGCGCCGCCATCTTACCCAGAAAGGGGGCCTCGCGCCGGAGGCCCCTGAGTGGGCGCCCTAAGCAGAGCCGGAGCGCCGGGGGGCCCCAAGTCGGCGCCCTGCGTCCCCCGCGCGCTCGCGCCCCGTCCACGCGCGACAAGCGTCCCGCACGCAGCCCCCGACCCAGGCGTCTGCGGAACCGGCGCCCCGCGCAGCCCGCACCGAGGCTCAGGCGGCGCCGAGGGCAGCCCAGGCGGAAGA